GAAGCAGACCTCCCTCTGAGCAGGGAGCCCGATGTGGGGCTCGATCCCAGGACCCTGGCATTATGACCTGAGCCAAAGGCAGATTCTTAATGACTGAGCCACCCAGGTGCCCCGTTATTCAATCTTCTTGTGTAAGTGAAGGAAAATCACGGTACCTACATCATATGCGTGTTGAGAAGATTAAATTCATCAACATTTGCAAAGCAAATATTAAAGCAGTACTTGAAACAGTCCCTGGTAAAGTCTATAGAGAACTTTTACGACTCATTAGCAAGAAGATGAACAGCCCAATTTAAAAACAGGCCAAAAATTTTAACAGACTCTTCATCAAAGAAGATACATAGATAAAAAGTAAACTCATAAAAGATGCTCAACCTCGTTAGTTATTAGGGAAATGCAAAGGAAAACCCTGAAAAATGCAGCACTACATACCAGTTAGAATGGCTGCAAACACCAACAGCTAAGGAAGATGTCAGGTGGCTGGAACTTTCTTACATTGCTGCTGGGGAATACAGAATGGTGCAGCCACCTAGGAAGACTTGTTGGCAGTTTCTTAAGAAGTTAAACATACACCTATCGTGTGATTCAGCCATTCCACTCCTAGATATTTACCCAGAGGAATGAAAGCATATGTCCACACAAAGACTTATTCATGAATGCACATAGCAGCTTTATTTGTAATAGTAAAATACTGGAAACAGTCCAAATGTCCACCACTAGGGGCACGGATAAACTGTGGTATATCTATACAATGGAATATGACTCAGCATTAAGAAGGGATTAACTGTTGATACATACTGTTAACATGGATGAGTCTCAGAAATAATTATGCTCAGAGAAAGGAGACAGACAAAAAAGAGGACATATTGTATGATTCCATTTATATAAAATTCCAGAGAATGCAAGCTAATCTCTAGTGACAGAAAGCAGATGGGTGATTGCCTAAGGATGGAGGAGATGGAGAAGGGGTGGGAGGAAGGAATGACAAAGGAGGAAGCTTCTAGAGTGATGGAAATGTTTGCCTCCTTGACTGTGGCGATGGTTTCAAGGGCTATAAACATGTCAAAACTTATCACATTATACACTTTAAAAATGTGCAGTTTATTACAGGTCAATTATACCTCAATAAATCCATTAAAAAATAAACAGAGATTGCTTTTGTGATACAATAAATTTCTTAAAAGGCAGAAATGAGACTGAGGGCTGTATTATATTATACATACACATCTTTGTGGTTGGTTACTGTGTGGCCCTATTTAATTATTCATATGCTATTTAGAAACTTTGTAATGTACAGATTGTGGGTATACCATTATCACTACTTGCATTTGGTTTTATAGTCAGTTCTATAAAAATTTGTATATCAGGCCCTTGGCCAGGAGCATAATCCTCTATTATAATACTGTTTCTGTGGGAAAATCAGAACTGGCTTATATTATATTTACAAAGTTCCTTCCCTCTGCCCCCAAGCTCTCTCTTCTAAATCCATCTTACACACTGTTGCCAGATTTATCTTTTTTGAAAACAAAACAAAAATTAGATCATGGTACTTCCCTGTTAAACCCCTCAGCGGTTCCAAATGGCAAAGTCTGAACGGCATATCATGACGTTCAAGGTCCTGCACAGCTAGCCCCATCTACCTCACCAGCCCCATCTCCCTGGATTTCCCCTCTCCTTATGTACCTGAACCATTTGTCAGGTGCTTTCGCTACTTTGAGCCTTTGCTCAAACTGTCCAGCTATCAAGGATGTCCTTCCCTTTCGCCTCACTGGTGTGTCTGAAAAAGTCTGTCATCCTTCAAGACTCATTTCAACCATCCCCTCTTGGGAGTCTCCCCAGATTTCCCCCAAACAGAAATAAGGACTCTTTCCACTGTGCTGCCGCAGCACCTTACGTGTGACTCTACTAGATCACGTACCCCATTGTCCTGCAGGGATTGAGGTGCATCCACAGCAGCTTAGAGGCTCTGCTGCTCTAACAAAAACAAACAGAAACAAAACCACCCCCACCCCATACCAGCGGTTTGAGCAAGTTTATTTCTCTCTCACATAAAAGTCCTAACTGGCATGCTGGCTCAGCTCTGCGGTGTTGGGACCCAAACTTTTTCTGTCTTGTTTCGCCCTCTTGTGTGTGGACCAATATGGCTGTCTAACGTCTCTGCCCTCCAGCCATCAGGCAGGGGAAAGGGGAGGGGAAAGTACCTTCGGCCTCTCACAGTATGATCCAGAACTTGTACCGACACTCTATGCACATCCTATTGGCCAAAACTTAGTTGCTTCATCACATATAACTCCACATGAGACTGTTGAAAAGTCAGTTTTATCCTGGGTGGCAAGGTGCTTCACTAAAAGCCAGCTGTTACATGATCATGAGAGGGAAGGGGAAAATGGTCTTGGGCTCCATTAGCAACCTCTGCCACAGTCCACCCCTTTAGCAACCCAACTGTCTGTGATTACCCGCTCCTTCACATATAAAACTCAAACCCCACCTTTCAAGGCCAACAACCCCAAGTACCCTACTGTCCTGCACCCAACACCTCAATCGGGTCTGGATGTGGTTACTTGCAGCCTGGAGACCAACACACTAAAAGACAAGTTATCTGCCCTCCCACCTCCTCCAATACACGACGATGGAACAAGAACCACATACCACAATTAAAAAACAATAACTCTAACTCAGAAAAGAAAACAATGGAAACTATGTGGATGGCATGAGTCCATAGCAATTACCAAATGAGGCCAGTTAGAAGAAAGACTTCCCGCCCGTCTGTTTTCTAGAAGTAACCCCTTTGGTCAGTGTCCTCCTTGGCCCCTGGCTGTGCCCTCTGGGAGGCTCTTACTAGGGTCATGATGATCTTCCATAATTACATCTGAAGTGGACATTAAAGAATATGCCTCCCTTAGGTTTCCAGACTATTTGCTTCTAGTCGGTTCCATGTGCAGGTAACTCCAGCCAAAGGTCTTGTCCCGACAGAGTTTGTCAGGCTGAAAACTCTGGCTGTATTTTTACTGGCTCCTGTACTCCGCCCAGACCCCTCTCTTAGCTTAATGGTTGCTATCTTCAGGCCATCTGAGACAATAGGCTTGGGTGGGAAGGAAACACCCTTAATCTGATCTTGGCTGTGGGGCTGGCTCCCATTGCCTGGCAGAGAGCAAGTTCTTAACCAGGAAAGCTTGGGAAAGGCTCAGGGCCATAGTCTTAACTCCTACTAAGGCTGTCTTTTCAAAGCCAGCTTAGGTCACCCCTTCCATTTGGGGTAGAGAAAGAACAGTTGGCTTTCAGCACTCTGCAGGGCTCCAAGTTACCAAACCCAGACTGCAGGCAGGACGTGCTCCCTTAGCAGACCGGTACCGCCTTCCATCGCCTCTTACCAACTAAGTCACACCTGAGCTCATCCGTCTTTTCTGGGAATCGGCTGAAAGAAGCATGAAGCAATCAGCACTCAGCCATTCAGAGGGCGTGTGGTCTTCCTATCACGCTATCACTCATAGAGGACAGGTCTACCAGATCTGCTGCCAGAGCCTCACAGGGGGCACTGACTTTCCCGTCTGCAGATCTGTGTCCACCCCGCCTGACTGGGAAGCCAGTGCCCCACGCGTGAATACGTTCTATGACAGTACTCTACGTCCCGGTTAGCCTAAATTAGGCAAGGAATAGGTTTTGGCAGCCCTAACTCTACCTGGGAGACCAAATATAACAGCAGCTTGAACAAGATGGAAGTACATTTTTCTCTCCTGAGAGAGCCTGAGCAGGTAGGATGGCTCTGCTCTGCGAAGTCATCAGGGTGCTGGGCTTCCTTTGTCTTGTTCCGCCGTCCAGGAGGGTGTCCCCGTCCAGCCTGGCTCGCCACCCCCAACGTCTCTTTCCAGTGGCCCGGAAGGGGGAAAGGGTCGGGACAGTGTGCAGTCTACAAGTCCGTCTGCTTCTCTGCTGGCCCATGGCTATGCCGAGGTGCAAGGGAGGCCGAGAAACGCGGTCTTTACTCTGGGCTGCCACACGCCCGGCCGAAAACTCAGGGGTTCTCCCACAGTGAGAGAGGAGGGGAGGAGGTGACGGAGGGGAACAATTATTCACCTCTGCCACAGCCCGTCTCCCTTTGAGAGAACTCTTTGAGAGGCAAGGACCTTGTCTCTCCACCTTCATCCTCCAGGCAAGTGCCGAGCCCAGAGCCAGTAACTATATAGGTTGAACTTGGCTTTTCCCAGACCATAAACCCGTTCCATCATGAAGGGACATTTGTGGCATGACTTGTGTTTAAAAGGCACCTTCACCAATGTCACCTGCAGCATGCTTAGCCTGTATGTCTTCAGGCTCTCCAGCTTTGTGGAATCACCTCCCGTGCCCGATATTCCCGAGGGCTTTCCGGGTGGGCACTTTCTCCGGATGGAGTGTGCTTCTCCAGGGTCCTCAGCCCCATGCCTGCCGTCCCCTCTCCGCCCTGTGCCCCCCTCTCCGCCCTGCCCCTGCTGAGCTGACACCGGTCTCCTCCTTCCTCCCTCCCTGTGTCCCAAGGACCAAGGCTGAGGTGTGTGGCAGATGTTCTTCAAGTTCAGGACTAATGGTTAGTGATAACAGTACAGGGTGGAAAACGGCTTCCCATTCAAGGTCACGTAGTACCTCCTCAGAATGTGCTGGTCATTCCCCACTGCCGGGAATGTCTCCTCGGAGGTGCGCCTCCGCAATTCCCACTCTGCCCCCCGCAGTGGTTTTCACCTTTCAGCCTTCTCTCAGTGGCCAGCTGTCTCTCCATTCTTGCCCATTCCGGGTGCCGGGCCCCCCCTCCCCCTGATGTCCTGTGCCACGGCAACCCCGTTCCCCTCACGTTTCACCAGCCAGTTCAGGCTTGCTTCCTCTCAGCTTGCCCCTCAGGCTACGTGCCGGGGCATCAAGTCTTCCAAACCCAAGGGGCCCATCCAGAGATGGTTCCCTCAGCAAAAGGGCCATCACACCCAGAGGTGAATTACTCCCAGGGGTAGAAGGCAGAGAAGACTCCAGTCCGCTTGAATTATAGTCACTTTATTTTCTCCACACTCTTAAGGACAGGCAGGATCTCTTCCGATCCTTGAACCCACCCCTGGAAAGAGAGGTGAGGTACCTGAGGCCCGGCGGGGTTAAGCCAGCCTCCAAGGCCGCAAAGCAGGTGAATCAGGGCTGGCGCACGTGTTGGGGAATGGCCGGCAGCACCTCGGGTCTTCTCTGTGTGCTCTGCCACGTGAGTCTTATTTCCTGTGCGCACAGCTCCCGAGGGACAGGGCTCGCTCCCTCTCACCGCGCCTGACCTAGCTGGACCCACGGCAGCCACGTGCAGGCGCCACCTGTCCTGCCAACAGATTGCCGTGAAAACCACCACGCACAGGGCAAAGGGCTTCAGGGATGCTTTCCTTGGATGCAGCCTACTTCACAGCGCCAGCAACCCCCCCCCCCGCCCCCGCAACTCAGACTCCAGCCTCAGATCTCCAAAAGCCCTGGCCTGCCCCACTGGCTGGGCCAGGTCAGTCCCATGGATGGCAGGGACGGGGTGAAAGAGTTGGGCTGGGGAGGGGCGAAGGGGCCAGGCCGAAGGGATTGAATTGAATGGGTGCTTTCTTCTCAGAGACGAAAGGTGCTACCCCCACCCCCAGTGGTCACTGATTAACCTTCCAGACCAGATAACCCCTCCATGGGAGGAAAAAAGTGTGTGTTTATCCTGGGTCATAAAACATCAATATTGACTTCTCACGGGTGAAGTCAAAGGGGAAGGGGAGGTGGGGTTGAGGAGAGGGGGTGAGGCTGGCGGGCCCTTCCTTTCAAGGCCTGGGACACACTTGCCTGACACCCAGAGGCCAGGCCCCCCGAGGATGCCTTCCCCTGGGGAGAACATGGGGTGGGCGATCAGGCTTCAGTCTCTGAAGGAGCCAGATCCCCACCCACCTCCACCCCGGGGACACCCTGAGCCAGGGGCTCAGGCCCCTGGGCTATTCTCTTCTTTCACTCTTCCTGGGGGCCTCTCCTCTCCCTGCCGTCCCCCCTACCCTGCCCCTGGCAGATAAAACAACGGCACAGGTCTGGAGTCAGACCGCCTCGGCTCTGCCTCAACTCTGGGACGCTTGGGCAGGTGACCAACTTGAGCCTCCGTTTCCTCATCTATCAAAAGGGACCAGTAATTGGGCCCAGCTCTCAGGGCTATTTAGGGTGACCAACTGGGACCGCTCACACTCTAAGGAGCACCAGGAGCGGGAGGTCCCGTTAACAACATGGCTCTTGCTCTCTCCTCTCCTCCTCTACCTCCTGTCTCCTGATGTGCAAATCATTCCATGCACCCTCCTCCTTGCTCCTGGCTGAGGCCTCCTCAGGTGGCTCTGGAGTAGTCCATGTCAGAATTACCTGGAGCTCCTGGTCAGAGGTGGTGGAGCCAGGGCTGGCGTCCTGAGCCCTCTTCTCTCTGGCCCGGAATGAATCAACCCCCCAAATGCTCTGTCAGGCTGGTGGTTCCCATCAGAGGGTCCGTGGTCCCGTGCTGCTCCGTGTGGGGCCGCTGGGCCTAAGAGTCCCTGTGGTGTCCTCCCCAGAGAACTTCACACCTTCACCTTCTGTCCATCCTCCATCTCCTTCCTGTTGGGGCTTAAGGTGTTTCTATTACCCCCTCCTGTCCTTCTGGAGGGTCAGAACAAGGCAGTTCCATACACAGAGTTTTCAGCTACTCTGGACTGGGCCCGTTCTGCACCTCACTTAATACTGGGCCCCAGGAGCAGTGGGGGAAACACTTGGGTTTCCTTGATCCTCACCCAAGGCCAGGGTCCTCTCCTCACCTGGACCCAGGTGAGCCCCACCTGATGCTGTGGGAGGCCAAGGCCCCAGCCCTGAGTGCCCTCCATGCAGCTGGCCAGAGGGGCACTGTCCCTGGGCACCTGGTCAATAATTAACACTGAGCAAACTCAGGCTGGCCGGGCCTCCCAGCAGGGTCAGGACCAGACAAAGGCCCTGCTGTCTTGCTAAGCTGCCATCTTGGTAGGGGGTTACTGGACGGTCCGTCACCTCTGGGGTGACAAACACCCCTGCCTCCAGCAGGGCACTAGAGGAGCTGCTGCTTGGCAAGAAATGAGGTGGAGACAGGCCCTGAGGAAGAGGCCCAGGGGTCGGGTTTGGCCACATTCCTGTTCTTAAGCCTCAGCTTCATGTTCCGAGCAAGCCCAGGAGGGGAGCTGGGGGGACGAGGGTCTGCCCTAGGGCCGTTCAAGTAGGGTGCTTTGGCAGCTGTCTGCCACAGAGCTGATGGGGCTCGGGGGACCGGCCTCTGAGAGCAACTCTCAGCCCCTCCGTTCTCCCACCACCTTCCATTCCTTCCTTAGAAAATCTGCTTGGTGTCACTGTATGCCAGGTCCTTCTTCAGTGTCCCCTCGTCTCTGCCCAGCCTCCCAAACTTCCACCCCTTCTCAATGCCTTTGTTTGCACAGCTACAACCTCAGAAAGCCTCCCCCTCTCCCCAGCTGAATCCCGTTCCTCCTCCAAGAAGTCCTCCTAGAGCCCACCCGGATCTCAACCTCCCGGTCCCTCCTACACAGATGCTCCTTTGCCGCTTCTTACCTCTCACCAGCTGCGCTGTAAGCCCCTTCAGGGGCCGGGAGCCATGATTTCTCCCTCCTCCCACCATGGGCAAGGAGCAGAATTAGTAGGTCTATCATCAATATCACCTCCAGCCACAAATCAAGCAAGAAGTTACTTTCTTGCAGAGCAACAGGGCAGGAGACAACTTATAAATTCCAGACATGCAGCAGAGTTCCCAAAGTCGGCCTTGCCACCCCAGACCTCCCCCAGCCGCTGCCCGTCGTGTCTGAGAAGTCTGTCATCATGCCCTCCCGCCCAGTGTGCTCGCTGGTTCCAGAACCGATGAGGACATTTCTGGCTGGCCCTGAAGGCTGCCCACCTGGTCCAGCCTCAAGTGCAGTCCCTGCCGCCGCTGGGCCCTTTCCTCCCGTGGGCAGCCCCGCGGTCACTGCCGGGTGCTTCGTGCATCCTCTCGAGAGCAGTGACCGCAGCCGTCAGTGGCCCCTTCTTGCCCAGCCATTCCTGACCTCCCCTCTCAGGTACCCTCTCTCTCATCGCTCCCCTCTGTTCACACTTCCTCCCTCCCAGCCTCCTCAGCACCAACCCGCCTGCCCCTGCCCCGGGCGCACTTGGAAACAAGAGCTCACGTGTAACCTGCAGACGCACCGCTGCTCCGCCACACCAACCACCCCAAAGTTCAAGGTGAACAAGAAGGGATTAGAGACGGCACCCCGTCCTTAGGAAGACGGAAGATGGCAAATTGGCTTTTCTTTTTTTTTTTTAAAGCTAAAATGGAACCGGATGTAGGAACCACCAACTGAGCTAAGGACCTAGGTGATGGCCGGGGGGCGGCGGGTTGCGGGGCAGGGGGGGGGAGGACACTGGGGGTGTCCAAGCCGGGCCCAGGGAGCAGGCACCTCTGGCTACCATACAGCTCTTCCTTAAAATATTCTGCCCCGTTGTCTCCCAGGTACCCTCATCCCTTACCAAATCCATGACATCAATTTAGAATCTAAAAAGACACAGCAGCGATCCATAAAATCTAGGCTGAGGGAGTGGCTGGTTGGGGGCTGTGCAGGGCGGATGGCCCCGGGGGCCTTCCTCTTCCTGCTCTTATCCCCCCAGGCCCTTGTGCCCCCCACACCCTCAGCCAAGGGACTCAGGGTCCCTTGGGATGTGTCCCTGGGGGCCTGCCCTGCCCTCACCCGCTCCTTCAGAAGGGCACCCTGCTTCTGCGGCCCACTGCCCACTTGGGCCCATCTGACTCCCTGTACCACCTGGGGCAGGTGCCATTCACCCCGCCATGAGTGGGCCGCCTGCCCAAGGCCACGAAAGGAAGAAGTGAGGACAGAAGAGGCTCCTCTGGTTTTTCTCATTGACTGAAGTCCTCAGATGAGGAGATGCAAGGGTTCTCACCACCCTGGGAGCTGCTGTAATTTCTTTTGTCAGAGCAAATACTCCCTCTGCCCTGCCCATCTTGTCACTAGCAGATGTTCCTGGGAACCCACTGGGAACTCCCCTAGCGGGGGGCATGGAATACTTCCTGAGGGTGTCAGGGGTGGGCAAGCCTTTGGGAGCGGCTCAGGCTAGACCCCCACGGTGACAGTCCCATTGCCAAACACAGCTCCCTGGCTTGGACCTGGACTTCCCTTACCCTGCCAGGATGGCTCAGAGTGGACCCCAGCGGAAAGAGGAAAGCGAAGCAGGAATGGTGGGGCAAGGGGACAGCCAGGGGAGCAGGGACAGAGGGGAGAGGCAGGCAGACCCTGGCATGAAGCCAATGGAGGGGTGCGGGGAGGAATGGAACAGGTAGGAACGAGGGAGGGAGCCCAGGGTCCTCCAGAAGGTAGAACTGGAGTGCCCCCACCCCAGCAGCTCCCTGCTCTGGCTCCAGGCCTCGCCTGCACCTCCCGCTCCCGCCCCCGCCCCCGTTGGGTTTCTGGCCCCTCCGTCACCAATCCCAGCACGATGGCGCCACCTGCTGTGGGGAGAGAGCAACACAGCTGACTCCACGGAGGGGTTTGAGAATTTGGGGGTGGGGGTAACTCTCGCTGGCCCTGGGGAATCACAGGCTCTGTTTGTGGCCAGAGGACGTAGACTTCAGTACGGGGCTATCTCCCTCACTCCCAGGCACCTCTCAGGTGGACAGCGAGATTCTCTCCTATTGCTCATTTCCCAGGTGCCCACACTGCTCCTCAGGCTCCCCAGAGCGGGCCCGGACTGTGGCCAGGTCTCTCATCTTTGGCTGGACCTCCCCACACTGCCTTCAGCCCTCACCTCCTTTCCTCAGGCTGCCATGCGGCCATCGGCCCCTGAGTGGCCTCCCCACCGCGGGCCAGTTTTGCCCAGCACGTCCCAATTCACAGGCCTCCATGGCGTCCTCACCACTTTCCGGTAAAGGCCGGCTTCTTACCATGCTGCGCCTTCCTCTGGGATGAGGGCAGCAGACCGGGGCAGGGGTCGGCTGGGTCAGCGCGGGGCCAGGCTGTTGGGGCCAAGAGGGCTTTCAAAGCAGAGGGCTGGGCTCAGTGCAAGACCTGAAGGAGACACTGTGTCTGAGACGGGCTGCGGCATCTCATTCTGTAGGCAGATGGGGGGACTGCTCGTCCTTCTACAGACCTTTCGGGCTTGTTCTCCCCTTTCTATTCCTTCTTCCACTCACGCACGCATGGCCCGCGTTACCGCCCTCTCCTCCTGGACTCACCCTGTCTACGGCACCCTCCCTACTGCCTGGACGATCTTTCTAATTCACCACGCTTATCCCTTCATGCCTCTGCTTACACTGCACATAATCTTCCTGTTGTGTTCTAGAGGAAACCCAAACCACCCAAACCACCTGCATAGCACCTCCTCTGGCCCCTCCACTCTCCCAGATGTCCCTGCCACAGCCATGCCTGGGACACCTCCTGCTCTGCCACGCCTGGGCCCCTGTTAGCAGGCAAGGAAGGAAGGAAGAGAGGGAGGGAGAGGGGGAAAGAGAGGGAAGGAAGGAGGGCAGAGGGGAGGGAGGAAGGAAGGAAAAGAAAAATAAGAAAAGAAGGGAAAGGAAAGGACAAGAGAAAAGAAAAGTAACAAGCAGAAATCTTCAGCTGGCTCATTAGAGATATCTCCATTTCTGTACGTTAACTCAGTCTCCCTAGGGCCAGATGCTTAGTTTTCCGGGGTTTTCTCACCGCCTGCCCCTCCTCCTAGTCGAGATAATTGCCTGGTGCAGAGAGACGTGCATGTGACCTTGTGGAGGTGGGAAGAGGGGGTCCAAGTTCTGCATGGAAGTCTCTGCATTCTTCCACGCACGTGGGTGGGACAGGGCTGGTCCCTTCTGGCCCCTGAAGGTCGCTGGCGTGGGGGGGGGGGCAGGTGCTGCCGAAGTATGGGGTCCCCGCACATGGCTGCAGGTCTTCCCCCTGTGACCCCGGGGATCTGGGACCACCCAGCCTCATTCTCCCCAGCCACCCCAGAAGAAGAGGCAGGGTTCCCTGAAGCCACTTCCAGACCCCCCCTTCCTTGGCCAGCACCTCATGGCACTGGCGCTGCCCTGAATCGCAGGTTTGCTAAGGGGATGCGCTAAAATCCCATAGCTGCAATCTGAGAGTCAAGCCCCACCTGCCCCATTGCCAGGAGAGTTAGCCTCGGACCTGACTGGGGCTTCCCACCCGAGGCCTGCCAAGGCTCCCCGCCGGGCGGAGGATGGCGCTGCCTTTTTGGTTCTCATCTTCCCTCTTCTGAGTCCCCCATTCCTGTCCTACTGCCCTATTGCAAGAGCAGAGACCAGCACATTCTGCTTGACCTCTCCTTGATGCCTTACTTTGCATCCACCCTCTGCTTCCCTGGGCCCTAAGCCGCACCTTAGACTTTACCGGGAGGGGGGGCTGTGGGAGAAGAACCACAGGGAGAAGGACATACCTCCCCTCACGGGTGTGTGCATGAAGCACGCATCCACATGGAGGGACACACAGGCTGCTCCCGGGACCCCTGCATTCCCAGGCACTCACCACAGGCACCCTGGGAGAGGACTGGGACATGCTTAGGGAGCACTCGTCTGTGATTCCCAGCATTTGCCAGGGGCCGGGGGGGACCCACCCCTCCTGGTTCGTCCCTCTTCCCTCCCAAGATTATTTTTCTAAGCCTGTCCCTCAAAGGCCTTGGGAGGGAGGCAAAGAGGAGGGAGATAGGCCTCTACTCGGATCCCTCTAAGGATAAAAATCTGGAGGTCAACCTTGGCTGGGGGACTTGGCGCGGTTTAAATTGTCTCCCGCCCCTCGAGGGCTCTCAGATGGGCAACCGGACGCTCCAAACCCCTCCGTTAGCTGCTCTGGGGCTTCTCTATGTGATTTCCCGGACTGACCCCTCCTTCTCCTCAGATGGCCAGCACCCCCTTCCCCAGCCTGACAGGCGCCGTCCTCCACTCTCCCTAAACATTTCTCATCCCTCCCTCTCTCCTGCGGCACCAGGGCATCAGCCTCCACTCCCCACCTGGACCTCCTCTCCCCACCTCCCTCCAACCCCTCCTGGTCACTGTAGGTGGGAACTTTCCTAACCAGAAGGTGGACCTTATGAATTCCCAGCCCTGGCCGGGAAGCTTTCAGAGCCCCCCAGTGCCCACAGGATGGCACCCTTCGGCGGAGTGACCAGCGCCTTCCTGATCTGGCCTGGCCCACCTGGCCACCCCAGCCCTTCTGCTCCACGGTGACCAGCTACTTCACGGCTCCCCAAACAGCCTGGCTCCCTTGCTTGGCCCCCGTCACCCACACACTGCTGGAACACTCCAACTCTCCAGTGTCCGCTGAGCTGCTCATTTTTTTTTCAAGATCCTGCTTGAGTCACCTCCCCTGGGAAAGCACCTTAGTCAGAGTGAATCACTCCCTTCTCCGAGTCACCGGGGTTCCTTGTTCAGGTTTCTCTCTGGGCACTTCTCGCACCTTCCACCATCTTCCGCCACCATTGCCTGGCTGCAGCACCATGGCCCCCCACCTGGACAGTGGTATGTGTCTCCCGACCAGACGCCTTGCCCTCGCCCTCACCCCTTCCAGGCCACTGTGGACACAACGGCCCAGTGGCCTCTGATAATGCCCATCATAACGCATCTGTCTGCTCAAAACCCTCCAGCACTTCCCAGCTCACTCACAGGAAAAGCTACAGCCCCACAGAGGCCTATGTGATCTTCCCGGCCCAGGCCCCTTACCTTTGGGCCTCCACTCCCACTCCGCCCCAGCCGCAAGGGCCTCCTAGCTGAGGATCCTGAATACCCTGGCTGCCCCCTGCATCCAGGCCTCTGCATGCTCCCCAGACTCCCATTCTCATCTCCCTTGCCAGCTTCAAGTCCCTCCTCCAGCCTCACCTCCGCAGGCAAGCCCCCCTACACTGCCCTGGGACCACATTGGGTGGGCAAGAACCATTCATCCTATGAATGAATGAGGCCCTGCCCCTCTGGCTGAGGTATAAAATCAGGGACCTGAACAGATCAGAGACCACCCCCTACACACACACACAACAACAACCATTGCCAAGCTGTTCCTGGGCTCCTAGTCTGTGCCAGGATCTCACTCCCTCCAGTGGCTGTCTGTTTGGAAGGAGTTGATCAATCAATCTCCACTCAGGTGAGGCTGTCTGAACACTGCATGAGAACAGATGCTTTCCAAGAAAAGGCGTGCATCGCCACCAGGGGCCAATCCCTTCACCCAAAGGACTGAGGAAGCAAAGTGATGACAATCAGGTGTGGTGTGAGGCTGTAGAAGGTATTTGCAGGCCTGGGCAGGGCCATCAGGCCAACCCTGGGTGGAAGACTGCTGTGCTGGGGAGGGCCCCTTGCCCCGCCTGGGCAGCCTCCTAAGGGCAGGGCTCTGAGCTGAGAGCAGAAACCAAACTCCACACACTTCTCGTGTGAGAGGGAAGGCACAGCAGTCAGGGACCTGCTCTCCCCCAGCTCCTCCCGGCTCACCCTGTCCCTTCCAGAATCTCAGGGGCTCCCAAGAAGGTGCGGGGTGGGGGTGAGGCTTGGCTCCCCAGGCCTGGGCTGGACCCCTGATGTGAGCCTTGGGGGCTTCAGGCTGTTTTTGTAACCACAGTCACGTGTTTCTTCATGTAACCAGAGCCCCCTGACACCGCATGAGTCTGCACCCCAGCTCCCGAACCACATCTGCTTCTCATTTCCGGCCAAGGAAAATGGCCCAATTTCCATTAGCCGCTGGCCCAAGCCAAGCCTGGAGCCTCTCAGTGGCCAACCCCACCCAGCCGGGTTCCATTACTGGGGTGGGGGTGGGGGCTGAGCGCTAGAGGCGACAGGGTATGTTGGGGAGCTGGGCAGGGGCCAGGAGGCCTGTGTGCTTGGGCTGGCCCAGGTCAGGACCTCGCTGTGTGTCCTCAGGGGAGTCCCTAACCTCTCTGAGCCTCAGCTTTCCCCGCTTTCTCATGAGTAATACCAAGAACGTGTTACTCTATCGATGGAGGCATTGTTAGGATTTGGGGACCAAGGTGGCTCTTTGGGGACAAAAACAACAGAATTTTCCCAAAAACAGAACTGAGGGGGAAGTGGCCTACGTCAGGAAGCTGGTGGGGGCCCAGGGCCACTTTCCTCCCTGAGCAGTGGGTGTATTGTGTTAAGTGATAGTTTACATGCAATAAACGCACAGGTTAAGTGCTAAATTAGCCTGTAGCCGATGTAGCATGTAGCATCAAGATCTAGAACTATTCCCTGCACCGCAGAAAGCTCCTGGTTCTGTGCTTGGTTTTCCCACCTGTGAAAGGGGCAACCGGGAATTCCTGCCTGCTGGTGTGTTAGGAAAATCGAACAAGATAATACCAGCAAGACACTCACCCGACACGAAGCAAGCACCTGATAGAGATGAGAAAATACATTGCTTTCACGACCTCCTGTGGTGTCTTGCCACCCGGTCCCCTTGTGGGGGCTGAGGCATGGATCAGGACAGGTGCTGATCAGGAGATGGTCTCTCTGAAGCCTGCGGGCATCAGCCCGCCTAAGAGGAGACTTGAGAAAATGTGATACTGTGCTGCAGGAGCCTCAGAGTCCTCTGTCTGCTTCCAGAAGCCCCAACGAGGCTGGGGACAGAGGAATGGGCCAGCTTTTGCTCTAATCCTGGCCCAGAAGATCGGTCTGTCTCAGGCACTGGTGGCAGGGTCAGCTTGATGAGTTTACAACCTGTGCAGTCGCTTGGGGCCCCATGCTCAGAAAGGTTTAATGCTCCAATGTCACCTCCTTGCAGTCCTTAATTATTTTTTAAACAAGGGCTCTGCCTTTTCATTTTGCACTGGGTCCCACAAACTATCGAGCCAGTGGCCGGGGTGGGGAAGGTCGTACCTGGCTGGTGTCCGCCCTGGAGAGGTTGGTACCACCACCGCCACCCTCACCCCCACTCACTACACATGCTCATACAGACGTCATGCTTATCCGCCACCTCCGCTGTCCCCTCTCTGTCCCTGCCCATAGTGGGACATCCAGGACGGCTTGGGTCTCAAAGAGCCCTCAGCCACCAGGATGCACCAACAGAATCTGGAAGCGGGCTTGCCCTGGAAACCCCCTCAGGGACACTCCTGCTCCCAGGGCCTGCTGGCCAGGCCACGCAAATTCCCATCCTCTGACAGTCCTCCCCAGCCGCCTCCGCCCACTGGGCAGCTCAAGTGTGAAACCACAGCTGGGTGCCTGCCAAGGGGGCTTAGGTTTCATCACATTCAACCTCCCACACCTTGGACAGAGGCCAGGGTCCGATGGTGCCACTGGCCAGAGGCTGGGGCTGGAAGGCAGACGAGGGATGGGTCCCTAGGCATCCCGGAGGACCCTC